ACACCTCCGGTATATATACATATATATATATATATATATATACCTTATGGGCGAATGCGAACGTTCTAACCTCTCGGCCACATATATATATATATATATATATATATATATATATATATATATATATATATATATATATATAAAAATCTCTCGATTAGTGCGGCTAATGTGTACATTACAAGATAAGCACTTAATCGAAAACGTATTAATCGAATTAACTTATAGGAAGTGATGTAATTTGTGCCTGAAATTTTAATCTCATTCACAATTAATTTCTAATTTGCGTACTTTTTAGGTAAAATATAGGTACGTATCTTCTATTTTGGAATTACACTTGGGAGCCATAATGACGTGTATAATGTTCCCCAAAAACGGCACAAACGAGAGATAGTGAATGTAGCAGAATCCAATATGGCCTCTTCCTCATCACCGCGTGACGACGTATTATATTATTATTAGAGATGGTGCCGTAACCACAAAACGCCGTACGTCGGATCCGACGTAACCCGAGGAACTTCTGTACATGATAAAAATATAGTTTTAAGGTATGCTATATATATGGGTTAAATTGTTAGGAATAGAGCGTATGTAAATATAAAAGTGGACACTAAGGTTAACACCGAACCGCGGCATTTTCTTTGAATGCATTCTTCAGGCCATATGTGTTGTGTTGGGTCGACTATTTATATAGGCTGGTCGTTGATGCATTATGGGTAGCAAAGTCGATTGTATTATCATGACGGTATGTGTGTATTCGTAATTTGGTTATTTGCTTATGATTTACTTTTTAATTGTTTAATTTAAAGTACTAACTTTGTCTAAAGTATATTTTATTATCTGAGTTGTATATAATATATATATTTGCATTTAATAGTGTTATTTACAAGATATTCGCTTATAGTTTTCGATTTTTAAGTAACGGAATAAAAATTTGTTTACGCATAAGCATTTCGAAATATATATACAGGAACCCCTCGATTAATACACATTCGATTAATGCGCTAAAAGGCTTTATTCCAAAATTTGTTTAGTGCACACATAATACTCAATTAGTGTGGCAAAAAAATTCTTCAGTTTAACTAGAGTCATTGAAGATTGATTTTTTTTTTATAGTTACCGATTAATTAAAAATTTTCTAAAATTTGAAAATGGAAAGTCGGTAACTATTTTGTTTGTCAAGTATTACGTTATCTAATTAATTATAGTATTGTTAAAAATGGACGGTTATAAATAGATCAATTTTATAATATAAAGCCGATAATAAAATATATATATTTGACTATTTGTCAGTATTAGAATTTTTTGAATATTTTGACTTTTTTCATGTTTATTTTAAAGGAAATTTCTGATTCTTTTGTGAAAAAAATTGATGATTTAATAAAAAACAGAAATTGATATTTATAAATAAATATCAAAATCTAAAAGATGTATGTATTTACTATGGAATGATTATAAATAAAATTTTCAGGTTAAATACTTATGATTATGACATGTCCGTTATGAATAATCAAGAGTGGTCTCCCCTTGTTTTGTCCTTTGTTTCTCTCTCTGAGAGATATGTTCTGTTTACTGGGACTATAAAAGGACACTATAGGCGAACCTTGTATTCTCAGTTGAATAAATTTTTCTTAAAGCCTACACCTGCGTTCTTTTCTCCTTACAATGATTAAATTTTTGGAAAATTTGAAGGGCCAATTTCTCAGAACTGCCAATTATATGAGGAACAGAACAACGGCAAAGAACTCTAAATAATTTTTCTTAAAAATCAGATTGATAAATATAAGTCCATAGCATTTTTATTGTATCTTCTTATATACACGAAAATTTTAATTAAAAAGTACGCAAATTAGAAATTAATTATGAATGAGACTAAAATTTGACGTACGAAACACTAATGGCGTTGCACGAGTGTTAAAAATGGACGATTATATATAGGTACATTTTATATTATAAACCGATAATAAAAGTATTTATTTGTCTGTATGGATTTTTTTGAATATTTTCATATTTTTTCGTCTTTATTTTGAAGATCTTAAAAGGAAATTGCTGATTCTTTTGTAAAAAAAAATGAATGATTTAATTAGATACATAAATTTATATTTATAAAGAAATATCAAAATCTGAAAGATGCATGCATTTACTATGGAAAGATTATAAATAAAATTTTCAGGTTAGATTACTAATGATTATGATATGTTGGGAGCCATAATGAAGGGCAAAAAGCTCCCAAAATTCGTGGCTGCTTATGTAGGTGAGTTCCAACGTACGTCGAGAACCCTATATATATATATATATATATATATATATATATATATATATATATATATATATATACGTGAGCTTCGACGTAAGTCGACAATCCTATATATATATATATATATATATATATATATATATATATATATATATATATATCGTTGAATATGATAGACAAGGAAAAGTCATTGCATCAAAATTTAATCAAACGTTGCTTGTCTGTGATATTAAACGAAATATGTTGTATAGAAAGGTTGCTGCCCAAATATACGTAGAGGCCGTAGCCCCCCCCCCAAAAAAAAACACCATTTTGGAATTAGGCCGACTCTCAGCAAATTTTAAAAAAAACCCACCCCTGGCCGGATCCGGATACGCAATCTTGAAATTTTGGATTTTAAAGTTTTCATTACTGCGATTTTCTTTTCGGATTTTGCCATTTTGGTTTCGACTGATAAAAACAATTAAAGGGACACAACTCTCTAACTTTCAATAGCTCATGTTCAATGAAAAAATTACCTTTCTCGAATTACAGTGTTTTAAAATAAAATTGTCCGTGTTTTCGTCTTTACTCCTAGAGGCCATAGCCCAGCATATCATACCATTTTGGCATCAAGCCGATCCCGTTAGCAAATTAAAAACATTCTGGCTCGATCCGGACCCGTAATCCTCAAATTTTGGATTCCCAACTTTTCATTACTACGATTTTTTCAGCGATTTTTACGTAATTTTTAACGACAATTTTATTTTGTCCGATAAAAATTTTTATAATTTGGAAATAAATTTGCGAATAACCAAAATTAATTGCGAAATCCAGCGAAAGTCACCGATGAAATAAAAATAAATTTTTTTTACTGAAAGTGAGGACATACGTACATCAAATTGTCTTTAAATTAAGTGACGGCAGAAGAACTATCGTTGAACTTTGAAAAGGTAATCTTAAATATTAATCCAATACTTAAATGAATCGATCAGTTTTGAGTTCTTCTGTAGTTTATTGTTGACTTTCGCTTCTATTCCTCCCTGCCTATTATGATGAAGGACTAATCAAGTGCTCTCCACAGGAGATAGCTAAAATGCCACCCGATAGGAATATATGAATATAATATATCGCACATGGCGTCCTAGTGTTAATAAAACAGTGCTCGATATAATATGACAGATCTATTAAATATAGATTAATAAAAATACATACTATCACTCAGCGGTAGCACAAATCGGAGTTTCATACACAACGTAATCTTCAGGTGCTGGGTAGAGACTGACCGTTACATAATTTAAATTTTAGTAAAAATATCTGGCGAACTCCATATGTTATACGGGGATTACAGTTTTTTTTATTTTAAAATTATATGTTGCGCATAAAATGGACAGGTTTTTTATTTTATATATATGTAAAATAAACGGGGATAAATATTTGATTTTATATTTAAACTAAACCGATTAATGATAAAAATTCATATAAATATATATATATATATATATATATATATATATATATATATATATATCACAATAGACGGACCTAAAACTATATGAAAAAAGTATTAATTTTAATTCAAAGTTTGTAATATTATCTTATTATAACGATAAAGGGAGAATACTGCTTATATATATATATATATATATATATATATATATATATATATATATATATATATATATATATATATATATTTTAATTGAGCTTTCCATGCTATTATTATTTTTTACTAAATTTTTTTTCTCAAGTGTATTGAGAACTTTTTAAAACTACTGTTCCCTGGCCTAATTCAACACTGACCGTTAATCTTTATATATATATATATATATATATATATATATATATATATATGTCTGTGTGTGCGTGTGTGTGTGTGTGTGTGTGTGTGTGTGTGTGTGTAGCATGTGTGTGTGTGTGTCTTTGTGTATGTGTCTCTGTGTGTGTGTGTCTGAGTGTGTGTGTGCGTGAGTGTGTACGTGCGTGTGTAGGTGTGTGCGCATGTGTGTGTGTCTTAGTGTGTATGTGTGTGTGTGTGTGTGTGTGTGTGTGTGTGTGTGTGTGTGCATAAGCTGAGATTTAAGTGCATTATTTAATCTTAGTTGTGTTTTGGTTCGGTTTCACGTTAACCAGAATTCAGAAGGAATTGAAGACATTAGTTTCATTAAAAACTGACACTCCTTCTACCAGCGACTGTAAACATTAAAATAAAATAAAAAGTAACCTCAAAATGGACCAATAAAAATATTTACACTTTACAGGCGAAAACAGAAAAGTTATTGCAAGTATAATAAATTACAATGTCTTGAAATATTATTTATATGCGCGAAAATTGTTATGGAGATGCTTAAAGAGATTTGAATGTTTATTGAGCGAAGATAGTCAGCGTTTTATGCGAAAACATTTATTTTTCTAAGTTTCCATACGCAGAGATTTTTTTTACCACTCGCTTTGTCAAAAATAGCCGGAGCCTACACCTTTCCCCATTTCAAATTTACTCATATATATATATATAGCAATTGCCGAAAATAGCCCAAACATTTCCCACATTTCAAACCTTCTCATACATACATACATACATACATACATACATACATACATACATACTTATATATATATATATATATATATACACACACACACACACACACACATATATATATATATATATATATATATATATATATATATATATATAATACATGAAAGAATTTGAAATTATTTCTTGAAGGAATTATTATGCGTGGTAAAAATACATCATATTTCAATGTCTCTCTTCCGTTCAGCTGCCTCGAGTAGGAGGGCATGAAACAGAATCGTATTGAACTTGGCCATTCAAACAAAAACACAAAACCAGATTTTCTAGTGATGCGTGTTTTGGCGAGAAGGGCGTGATCTTTTAAAATCAATATGTAAGACATATTTTTCACTCTTTCCAAAATATTAGATGTTGGAGAGCATATTGCTAAAGATCATATGAATATCTCAAAGTCAAAAAGAAAAAAAAGAAAAGAAAATGGTAAAATAACAAAATGAAAAAAATAGAGCCTTTAAATGAAACAAACAGGAGTAATCAATAACATAAAACAAATTCGCTAAACGGTGTAAACCATATGAAAGCCATTGTCAAATTCAATATCCCTGAAACTAATAAGACAATGGCTGCGAAGAGGCATCTATGACTGGAAAGAAAAGAGAGAGTAGAAACAAAGGCGAATATTTTCCACTTAAAATGTTTTGTTTTGCAATAAATGTACGAATAAAATAAATAAACAATAAAATAAACAAAAAAAGAAACAAACAATTGTAATGAAATATTAGAACAACAAAAAGAAAACAAATAAAAAAGCGACTATCACTGAAAACAACAGGCATTAAAAAAAGCGCGCAAAGTTTCAAATAAAGACAGAATCAAGGAAACGAAACAATACAATTAGAAAAATGGTTTTAAAAAGCTCCATAAAGCAAAGCATCACTGCTGAAACAAATTCTAATGAACAATGAAAATAGATACGCTGCAATTTCTGTGTATATATATAACGAAAATAAAATTACTCGTTCCAACTGAAAGATAACAAATTGTAATGAAAATGAAAACTTTCATATAAATAAAGACGTATGAAGGTCGATGTTAGAATTTAATATTTGTACACACATGAAACAATCGCGAAGACAAAAGCTAAACGAAATAAATAAACATTTAAAAGAAATTAAAAAAAAAAGATTGAACATATCAATGAAAATGGGGAATGCATGCCAAGCAGATTTTAAAGGGAGATAACTCACTCGAGTTTAAAATACTAGACAACGTTTGTTGATTTGAACACTGACTTTCCGATAACAGTTTTGGAGTAAAGTGATGGATCATTTAAAAGAAAAAAAAAGAAGTGTCGAACATTGTCTCTCCCCTTTTTATGATTCGCTTCTCTGGGTATCTGGCAGGTTAATCTTTCGTATTGAAAATAAAAATAAATTGCCGTGAATTTGAAAATATGGAAGATGTTCTGAAATTAATATGGCAGAAAAATGCTCAAACTCAATTATACAAAGTCAACCTAGAATAAGAAATAAAATTTTACACACGCTTACGCACGTACAGACGAGAACACGTATAAACACACGCGCATGCTCAGGTACAGACACACAAACAAACACACACACAAACACGGTATATCTTCCGTGACAAATAATAGAATATTGCAAATATATTTGTATGCATGTCTTCACTTGAGAGAAGTTATAACTAGACTTTTAGTAAAAATGTTCATTACCAAAAACAGAATAATATATATGTGTATATATATACATGCAGGTTTGCTTGCATGTATGTATGCATCTATTTATGTATCGATCAAAGACTGTTTGTATCTATCTATCTATCTATCTATCTATCTATCTATCTATCTATCTATTCCAAATTGTTTAAATCTATCTATCTATCTATCTATCTATCTATCTATCTATCTATCTATCTATCTATCTGCTTACTGCCACATCAAGTTGTTGAAAACACTGGTTCACGTACGATCACTTAAGTTAAGCAATGTTGAGCTTCGCCAGTACCTAAATGTGTGCGTGCGTGCATATATATATATATATATATATATATATATATATATATAATGAAATAGACTAAGTCCGACAATTATTTTAATATATTTTAATATTTGTACGTTATTTTTATAGGTACAATTATTCAAGTAAATGCTGTGTTTATCATAAACAGTATTATATATATATATACATATATATATATATATATATATATATGATCACACATTATGAAATGGACAAAGTCCGACAATTATTTTAAGACATTTTTATGTTTATACATTCTTTTTATAGATACAAATATTTAAGTAAATGCTCTGTTTATAATAAACAGTATTAAAAAACATTTACCAGCCTGAATGTCCGAGAAATTTTCACAGAAAATATTCGTCCTCCCACAGGACTCGAATCTGTATCCTATACGGAACCGTCATTTCGCTTGACGTGCCTTTAACCGATTTGGCCACAGAGGAGCGTTCGGTTAGCAAGGTCGAATTTACTGTATTTGAACTTCAATCTTCTATGAATCTCTCATGTACATTCATATCTGCTCATGGCCTATCCAAATGTAAACAAATGACGTCACACATTATGAAATGGACAAAGTCCGACAATTATTTTAAGACGTTTTTATGTATATACATTTTTTAATCTTCTTCAATCTTTTATGAATATATCACGGAGGTCGAATATATTCAAGCTGGTAAATGTTTAATACTGTTTATTATAAACAGAGCATTTACTTAAATATTTGTATCTATAAATAGAATGTATAAACATAAAAATGTCTGAAAATAATTGTCGGACTTTGTCCATTATGTTGAAAAATAAATATTTGTTACATTATTATTATTATTTTACTATTAGGCAACACATTTATAGATACACACTCTTACAAGTGTTTTCACTTTTGCATGCTTCATCACGGCAAAGACTGTAATTTTTTTAATCTAATATGAAAGCAGCGTATTTTTAGGAATATAAGTATCTTATAAAATAAACTATTGCTTGGAAGACTGTTTAAAAAAAAAGAGAAAAGAAAAAAAAACACAGCGCATTTGAAATATCTTTCTTGAAAAAAATTTAAATCTGATACTTTAAATGTTATCGATTGTTTTAAGCAAAAATGAGCGCAAAATACCAAAATGTGAAAAATCGTAAAAAATTATTATTTATTCTTATTTCGTTTGATTAAAAAACCTCAAAATCTTCATGACTTGGAAAGGAATCAGCCATTTCATCATTAGATCCAATATTATGATAAAAGAGAATGTCATCTTTCTTCCCGCCATTACGTTACCCATTTCTTTAAATAGCATAATGAAGATTATCTGGAACGGCAATACTTCTAGATCACTTCACATTAATGCGGGTATCTCACGTGGCTATATTCTTGGATCTTTGTTGGTTCTTATCTTCAGCAACAATCTTTCCGATGTCATTGCAACTAGGTATTTATGTCGAAGACACAACTATTTACTGCTGCCTTAACAGTTTGTTCAATAGATCCGTCAAAGTAAAGTTGGTAGCTGTTTTCGAGAATGACCTGCAATCAGTTGTTAACTGGGGCAAGAAATGGCGTTTAAATTTTAACGTCTCCAAAACGAAACTGATATCCTTTAATTAACATAGAGAACCATTTTTACTTTCCATCGGAATATCTGATGGTAACCTTGAAATTGTATTGAATCACTTACTAGGTCTGCTAGTAAAGGGGATGTTTCATTGTGTAGTGCTAAACAGTCTTTCTTGTTAGAATTCATGTTGCATGTTTATAAATCTACCATTCGTCTCTGAATTGAATATTGCTGCCATCTATGGTCTGGTGCTCTGGATATATATATATTGAGATTCTCAACAAATCTAAAGAAATGTCTGTAATATTATCTGTCATTCACTGGGGCGCTATTTTATATATACAGTGTAACCCGGATATAAGAGACCCGGATATGAGAAACCCGGATATAAGAGAGATTTTCTCTGGTCCCAAATTAGAGCCTGTGTTAATGTATATAAATTAGACCCAACCCGGATATAAGAGAAACCCGGATATAAGAGACTTCATCTCCGGTCCCGACAACTCTCTTATATCCGGGTTACACTGTAATTTTAAGCTTTTTTTATGGCGTAAGGCCCTTCAGGACGTAACTGAACATGGTTCTCTAAAACACCTTTTGATTATCTAAATGATTTCTTATCCTTTGATGCTCTTTATTTCGCAGTTCTGTCATCCATTCAAATAATCTGGGGATTCGGTTGAACTCTTCTACAGTCTTCATTAGGTTTAAAATTTGGAGTTGATATTTTTTCTCAGATACTGTTTTCTGGGTGGAAAATAACCCCATTTTATTCCTTTTCTTACAGACAAGTTACCCGAAGAAGGCTGTAAAACGGATCAGCCACTGGGCTAACAGTCAAAAGAGCAAAGTGTTTTGTGTTTGGGAATAATTCTTTAAAAGATAAGAACAATTTTCGAAATTATAGAAGGTTTCATATATGGAATCAGCATAAAATAATTTTCCTTCAAACAATTTAAAGGTGTGTTTCTGTCGTGACCAAGTAATGGTTAAGAAATAACAAAACAAGAGGTGGCAGATAAATAATGTATTGAACAGTAATTACAACAGACGTGTGTTAAACGATTTGGGAGCGTGTGTCGGTTGACCAGCGTTCAGACTATATCACTGTTGTCCCCCCCCTACGAGGAATGCATGTGGCACAAGGCTGAGTTTACCGCGGGTTCTCCGAGCCCGTAGGCTCGGCCAAAAATATTCCCTTAGAACCCACATAAACGGGTCCGGGCCTGTCTACATCTCCGGACGAGACTTTACCCTTCGGCAAAGACTCGTCCGGGTTCCTCTCTGCTCAAGGCAGAGAGTTCAACAGTTGAACAGGGTATATCACTGTTAATATTTAATAACCCCCACCCACAAGGGATGTATGTAGCACTAGGCCGAGTTTAGCGTGGGTTCTTCGAGCGCTTATCCTCGGACAAAAATATTCCCTTAGAACCCGTATAAACGGGTTCAGGGCCTGTTTACCTCGACGTACGAGACTTTGCCCTTCGGCAAAGCCTCGCCCGGGTTCCTCTCTGCCAAAGACAGAGAGTTCGACAGTTGAACAGGCTATATCACTGTTCTTCCGAGGCTTACTTTCCTACTAGTTTTATAGTAGGTGGAAGAGTCCACAATAGACTCATTAGAAGGAGGACACCACAACAGTTTCAAGCCCAGTTAGATCCAAAGTCATCATCATCAGTCGCCTTCCACCTCTTCGTCCACAGATGCTCGGGACTATGATGTTGGATGGTAGCCATACCTACTACGCTAGGCTTTCGAGTTGGCAATAGTGTCCTCTTGAACAGCCTCAACCGAGTGTGTTGATTTGTTCATGAAAATTACTTTAGAAAAGTTAATTTTCATATATTTTTTGGTCCGATTTTGACGCTTCAAAATATTTTCTTTATTTAGAGGAGTTTGTCTAGGAGTTTTTATACAGATCCTAATTCATTAATTATTCTACACCTTTTATCCTTCTTGACCCTCTCAATTATAACCTTTTCAAAGATATGAGCTCTGGTCAAATGTGGTTGTTTCACCATAACTTGCTTCAGCTGACGTTCATCTCGAAGAAGCAAGTTTTTAAAACCTTTTCTTTTGTTTCGATTTCACTTCATTACATTTTCAAAAGCCTTTTTTTTTTATTGCTTGATGATCTCTGAAAAGCTCCTTTGACATCTCCAATGTGGGCATTCCCTCACTCAATAACTTTGTTATTTTCTGTTTCTCAGCAGTTGTTAAGGTCCTTCCCTTTACCCATCTTTCAAATATATTATGGACATAAAAAAAAGAAATATTTTTTATTAGATTTCAGAGGTCTTAAATTCTTCCAGTTGCTAAGAACATTTTGTTTTGTTTTTATTAGTTACTTTAATAAATTTATTTCGTTTTTTGCCTTGAAAAAGTCCATATTGGAATAAACGCTTCGACAACTAATACAGTTTTCCTATTATCTTTTACATTTATAAATATTGATAACTATGTCTCACCGTTTTGCTGTTAAACTAACTCGATGCCACCATCAGTTCCTTTTCTCGCTAGTGGAACGACATTCCTTGCTTGCCTTGGGTAACATTTTGTGCAAGTACACAAAAATAGAAAAGGTTAATGAATCAAGGATAGGTGTTCTAACGAGATTTATTGAACCTATACAGAGAGGCGATCCTAAAAGGACAAAAAGTCCCAGCAAGGTTTATTACTGGCAAACATAGTTTAACAAAATAAAAAACGAAGATAAAACTGTCGGCGCAAACACAGACAGAAAACTATAGGAACTCCAAGAAAAAATGGACTGATCTGAGGTTTCGTTATACATATATTATACCATGGGAAGTACACGTAAGGATGAAATACAATAACTTAACGGACATTACAAATTAAAAACGTACACAAGAACGATGCGTTAAAATGACTCTTTTCGGCCATTTTCCCAGTGCAGGAACGTGTCTTCCCGTTGTATTTTCTATAAATGTTTTCATGGTAATAAAGCCACGAAGATATACGGCTGACTTTGTAGGAAACAATAAGAAAAAGAAAACGTTATGAAGGAGAGAGAGGACAATAAAAGAAAAGGAATTTAGAAAAACAGAAGATAATGATTAATACTATATTTAAATTTTTGAAGATCTAATTTGAGTGCGAAGCTGGACTTCTTCAAGTGAATATGTGCGAAGGAAGAAACTGTTAGCAAAGAACTTGCGGTTGCATCTAGCCATTTCAACTGAAAATGATTGAGACCTTGCTTCCAATCTAGTACTGTGCTTAAATTCATAGTGTTTAGGTAGCATAGAAGAAAGTTCAACAAAACAATTATATATATATATATATATATATATATATATATATATATATATATATATATATGTATATATATGGGTGTCTGTGTGTTATTGATGTAATAGGAAAGAACAGTTAGATTAATGAATGAAAGTTGTTTATTATTTATGTTTTTAGTTTTTAAAAACAGTGCTCGATACAGAAGTACAGAATGAATTATAAATATTTAAAAAAAATATGATCCAATCCCGACACAGAAATTACTGTTTCGAAACTTGATTCAAGTCCTAAAGTTAAATTTCAATATTAAATTTAAAATTAAGAGCACAGTTTCATTCAGCGATGTTTAGAATATATATATATATATAAGCGTGTTTCATTGAATAATATAGACATATTATGTCTATTTAGTTTTATACTGACCTTTTCCATCAGTTTCTTGATGTTAAGATGAAGGCGCCGTAGTTTTTTCCTACCCAAGTACTTTCGATATCCTCCAAGATCATCCCCAGCAGCAAATTATAAAGACAAATCTATTGTAATTATGATAAAATCTTCATTTCGTTGTGATGGTGATTTTTAAAACACACGTATGAACGCGCGCTGTTATAATAATTTAAAATTTTTTAAATGTATCCGTTGCAGCTATGGAATTTCTTTTGCAAAACAAGCTTCTCAATATAATGGAGCTGGCCAGAAATTTCTAGAAATGCAAAATGGCATTAAATGTTTGTCAAGTGTACTTTAATACGTTTCTGTTAACCTCGTAATAAATTTTGTTGAGTGTTGGTTGGTTGATTTGGATATGGAGGACTTTAATGATTTGAAGTCTTTTTGTCATGTAGTATATTGATGTTGTCAAAAAGTATTTTCCTGTATTGGAATGCAGATTTTATTACAGTTACGATAAGTTTCTCGTTGTAATTTACTCCTGAAGATGATCTCGGAAAAGATCGAAAGTACTTGGGCTAGAAAAATACAACACCTTCCTTGATGAATTTAATCTTAACATTGTATTTAGATAGTTTATATTAAGAAAGATCATATTAAAAAAATAATGAATAAAAATAAAAATAATTATTTCTATCATTGAAAAATTTTAAAGATATGCTAAATTATGAAATGGACAAAGTCCGACAATTATTTTAAGATATTTTTATGTTTATACATTTTTTTTATAGATACAAATATTTAAGTAAATGCTCTGTTTATAATAAACAGTATTAACAACATTTACCAGCCTGAATGCCCGAGAAAGTTCATTTGTTTACATTTGGATACGCATCGAGCAGATATGAATGCACGAGAGAAAATGATGGAGAATTGTAGTTTAAACACAGTAAAATCGACCTTGCTAACCAAAACGCTCCTATGTGGCTAAATGGGTAAAGGACGTCAGGCTATAGACGGTTCTGTATAGGATAGAGGTTCGATTCCTGTTTGTAATCTTTATTTTATGAGCTTGATTCGATTTACAAACAGACATTGTTTACAAAACCATCATGGGAGATCGCTATCGACATATTTAATCCACAGACAAACTGTTTGAATCGAGCATTGAAGGATGGAAACGGTCGTCAGTCAGGGATTCTACGAGCAGAAAGACAAACGACAAAAAACACACAGTGATTTTGCAATATGAATAACGCTAGGCCACCCAGAACTGTTGCAAAATCCATCTATAAGGGTGAAACCAGTGTATGTCATTTCGCCGAAGAAACCCATAGCATTAAATGGGAAACGTCCTACTCCACCCAGCCCGTATTCCCCAAAATTCAAAAGTAAGATATTTGCCGTGTTGACATCGAACGTCGTCTTGTTAGAACAGCTTGCGAAAACCCCCCCATATTCATGGTTCATTACTGCTGTGCATTTGGGGGCACCAGCTAGAATTTATTATGAGCTGCTCAAACCCAAAACCATCATGTCCGAATCGATGTCCAGTTATCACTTGTTCCGTTCGATGGCACGTGATCTGGCTGAGCAGCATTTTCATTCTTATGAATATGCCAGAAAATGGGTCGACTCGTGGTTAGCCACAAAAGTTGTGTCGTTTTTCCGACGTGAAATTCAAATGCTGTCAGAAAGATGGGGAAAAGTAGTGGCCAGCGATGGACAATACTTTCAGTGAAATGTTTCTTACTATTTTTTGTAAATAAAACATTACTTTTCATGAAATTCAGCAAGAACTTATTCAAGGTCCTAATATATAAATTAATAAATTTATTTTAAATCCATTATTTTTATTGCTTCAAACGTTATAATTAATTGATACTCATGCTTAAAATAGACGCCCTATTTTTATTTTTAAATAATGTGTACTGCCTCTATCTTCTTGCGCATTTCATAAATGTTAATAAAGGAAATGTATTCTCCAGCAAGGATCGAACCTGCGTCATATTTGTAGGAGAAACTATCGTTTGATGGAAAGCAAGAGCCGGGAAGAGAGTTCCTCAATTGAGAAGTGAGAGAGAAGAAACTGTTAGCATAGAACTGACGGCTACATCTAGACACGTCACTCTAAAATGATGAGACCTAACCACCAATCTAGTACTACGCTTAAACACGTAAAGTCGAGTCACCGAAGAGGCTTATCAGAATAATTACCATGTAATATGAAAAGGCAGAGGGGAGCTACGTTACGGCGGTTGGAAATTCTGACAGAAGCCGAGATGCCGGGTCATTAGCGATAACATTGCAGATTTTTTTTTTTGGTGGGGGGTTGTCAAGAATCTCTAAATACACATCAGAAGCACCAGACCATACATTAAATGCACACGTTCATTAGCAATTTCTTATTCTTTTCACACGCTACGTCTTTTCATGGCGTGGGAGATCATGGTCATCCACAACTTCTTGTATTACTTTAACATTTAAAGCTTTCTATCTATGGTTCTTTTTCTGCCATCCAAATTCTTCAAGTAGTTTAGCCGACGTGTTTCCCGGCTTCTCTGGCCCTCAATGTATTATATGAGTGTTGAATTTCTTCATTATGTTTTCCAGAAATTTCAGTTATTACTTTTTGATTGTTAGTACGAGGTTCCTTACCGTTCCTATAATCCGAAAACCTCAGTCGTTAATCACGTTCATGGTTTTCGGAGCATTCATCGATAGGAAGATTCAGTGTAGACATGCAGCGCTCTTTTTCTTTATTTGGTTTCCCAGTAGAATTTTTGTTTAGTTTCTGAAACGCGTCTTTCTTCTTGTGTGTTTCCTATACGAAAATAAATCGACAAAACAACCCCCACAAAAAAAAAAAAAACAAGTTAACGATGTTCTAAAATATAAATGATATTTAAATTATCTGAAATTAGTGCTATTTCATGCATGAAAATGATTTTCGAAAATTCATATGTATATATGTATGTGTTGTAACCTACGGAAGTTTACTGAATAGAATAATCAAACGAAGGCTGGTAATGAACAATAATACTAAAGACAAGAACAACACATATAAGATTCGCCAGCGGCGTGTAAAAGTAGTAGCCAACTGCTAGAAGGGAGTCAAGTGAATTCCATAATGAATCTCCAACTGCAAGATATCTACCAACGGTCAGATGTGGTACAAGCCGAATTTAATGTGGAGTATCCGAGCATGTAGGCTCGTGGAAAAATTCCCTGTAGAACCCGTACAAAACTGGTCGGGTAGCTATTTCCCGAGACCAGACATTGCCCTTCAACATAGCCTCCTCTGGGGATCCTCTCTACTCTGAGGTAGAGAGTTTGACCAGCACAGCTGGAGGCGAATCTCCCACTGCAGGATATTTACCAACCGCCTCACGCGGTCAAATATGGCACAAGACCGAATTTAATGTCGGGTATCCGAGCCCGTAGGCTCCACCAAAAAAATTCCGTAGACCCCGTATAAAACGGGGTCGGGTATCTGTTTTCCTAGATGTAGCCTCGTCTGGGGATTCTCTCTGACCTGAGGCCGACAGTTTGTCCAGCTGTAGACCAACATATATTACTTATTACTGTATGTATATGAATGGGAACATACATATTAACGTCCGTAGGTATGCTACAAGAGTATGTACGTATGTATGCAGCAAAGTCAGATTTTAGTGCATAGAAGAATTGTGTTATTATTATTATTATTATTATTTTTATTTCCTTGGGTTTCTGTTGCATATAATAATAATAATATAAAACCTTAATTTATTGCAAATATATATACATTATTGTTATTATATTATGTATGTATATAAGCAGTAAAGTCAGGTTTTAGCATAAAGAATATTATTATTATTATTATTATTATTATTATTATTATGTACGCATGTGTGTATGTATGTATGTTCTAAACTCAGGTTTTACCGCATAGAAGGATCGTATTTCGAATAAAATTCTGTTTGAAAGACTCTTATTTTCAGTGTGTCTGCAAAACAATTTTTACGTGCTTCAAGATTTTAATGTTGGCCTCAACTCCTTCGCCTTGCCCTTCTCTTGATATAAAAAAATAAATAAATAAATAAATAAATAAATATTAGTAAAACGCGCTTGGCAGGGTTTCTAGAAACATCAGATTTTTTTTTTATTCTTAAATTTTACTCTCAACATTTTTTAAATAAAATTCTATCCCTTATTTTTTCTGTTTCATTTTATTTTATTTTATTTTTTGGGGGGTTTATTTTCAAGACTCAAGAATCTTTTCTTTTAGCTCCAAGCAAGGAATGACTCACGAGATTTTTGCAATGGCGTTCCTACATAGCCTTTTACTCCCCTCCACCTTTTCCCGCCTTTTTTTTCTTGCCACCGCTACCCTCTTCAACACCACCATCACCCCTCCCTCCTCCCCCGTAACTGTTCCCCGACTTCCTGGACATTTGACGTGCTATACTCTGTGTGTATTGTTGTTGCCTCTGGACTTTCTCAACGTAAGAATCGACCAAATGTTTTTTACATTTTTTTTTTTTAAAGATTATTTTTATCTTCTTTCTTCTTACAGTTCCAGAGCTTTAGCCGCCATCTTCCTTGTCCCACACTCTTTCTTCCGTTTCTATATCCCTGCAAATTTGACTCTTTCTTTCTTCTTCTTCCCTTTTCTCTATTTCTCTTCTCTACTCCCTTCTCCAATTTCATAATTTGGTATCATTTAATATTTCGTTCAAGAAACATTATCTGAATGGACCGCAATCTACATTTCAGTGGCGAGAAAGAGATTTTTTAAAATAACTATCGAAAGAATTCTAGTTCCGTTCCAGCTTTGCTACTGTAATTATTCGTATATAATGCGCACTCGTCTATAATATGCAACCCTAATTTCGCGCTATGGAATTCTAGAAAAAAAAATCTCTCGTGTATAAAAAACACTGACATTTTAGAATTTGTAGTTTTAACCTTATTTTAAAATTTGTTCAGCTCATTATCCGAATCGTATCGATTAAAAATAATAATCTATACTCTTTTAAGGGACTAATTGTTATATAGGAATAAAGTGTAGCTGCCGACGCTGGAGTTTGAACACAGATCACTAGAGAGCAAACACAGGCAATCCCATTTTGAATAAGTAGATCATGTATTAGTAAAGGAAATGTATATATGAGAATTAGCGTGGCGTCTAAATGATCTCTATTTCTACACTATCCTCTATCTCTATACTATTCACTGTACTATGTCTCTATACTGATTACCATACGGATTGTTCCCTATTGGGTAGTTACTATTCGAGCGAGTAATATCGGGCAAGTACTATTAGTACGAGTGATATTCGAAGGCGTCTGACACCAGTATTGTTCAACGGCGTTACTATAGTTGTATCTGCGATTACAAAGTCTCTACTACAACGAGCATTACGAAAATGACAACGAGTATTCGTTGACATCACAAAACTAATACAGTGGTGGTCAAACCGCGAATCTTTGACCTACCATATACGGCACATGGAAATATGTTAGGTGAACTCCTTTTTTCATTAAAGTTAATATAATATAAAGTGGGAGGCTTAATAATTGAGGCCATTTCTCAATATACAATAAACGATGTTTTTAATAAAACGTGGGGCTTAGAAAATTATTTAATGGGTAACATGCATTAATAAAAACGTCCCTTCTTTTATTGTTCTCTCTCTTTAGTAATGTTTCCATTACTTCACCAGTGAAGCGGCTTGAATCGAGGAATTTGCGAGCCGAGTTCAAATTCCAGTCGGATCCATAACATTCATTTAAGTGCTTAGGAAAGGTATGGATACTCTTCTCCTCCAGCCATGGGTAAATAGCAGGACAGACAGGATGCTATAGCCTTGGGTGGCAGCAGATCTAGGAGAAAGTAACTCTGAAATCAAAACCGAATGTAGTCCTGGCGTATCACACACTATATAGCTAAAGGGGAACCTCGAGGCGGTGTAATGGTTAGTAAGCTTGTCTCGCTAGAACTATTACGACTGAGTAGTGAGTTCGATCCTCACTGGGTACCCCATACTTTCGGCCTTGTGCCACATCTGAGCTACGCTTGGAAAATCACTATTATATAGCTAAAGAAAGGATCGCTCGCATTGGGTCGATGATTCCAACTACGGTCGAATAATGATGAGTAATGTTTTCTTTCCTTATATTATCACACACTCAGTAACTCCTTGCGTGGCTTTGCTGACTTGATTGGAGTGAAATGATTAAAAAAAATAGATTCTAAATAAATAAATTTTATTTTTTTTATTAATATTAAGTTTGTCAACGAACGGAATTGATAATTCTGGAAAGAATACGAAAGGATATTGGAAAACAATTTTTTTAAAGAATGCAGTCATAAATTACGCAGGTAATACTTTGAGGGAATTCTAATTAATATTTTACCATCTTTAAAAACACGTCGGACACGCTATATTACATCACAAACTTTTAAATATTCCATATTTAAAGAATGTAAGATATGTCTACCTACTGCTACTAATACTACAATCGATGTTACGTAAAATTTTTGAATTTCATATAAAACCTGCCAAAATCTATATGCGGGCAGCTATCAATCATAAATAAAAATATCTGTTACATACACACGGGCGAGTCCATACGAGCGAATATACGTTACCATCCGAATTCCGAATAAATAAATTAGAATTATGATACATTTACACACACAAATTATACACACGCATGCAACTTGACAAGACAAATGTACATGAAGTCTGCTTAACCAATGAGAATCCAACAACATAAAAATGAAGAATACAATTTTCTCTCTTTGTTTCATTTCCTCCATATCTCATTCTCTGGCAAAGTTTTAATAAAAGCGAAATATGGTAGCTTCATAAATGTTTCCTATTTGTTCTTTATTCTATTATTCCATCGGATTCTGCGCCATATTTGGTCCCAATTCACAATGACCCAAAAGAGTTGCCACAACAGAAGTGAACAAAAACTTGGGGAGTTGATTTACTAATGGAAAAGAAGTGAAAAAGGCATGGCACGTGGAACTAGAACAATCTACCCCGGCGGGTGAAATAAAGGGTTCGATTTGAAATTCCAACATATATCACCTGAAAAAGACCGGAGCATACACCGGCCGAAACGTCGTGAGTATGACGATAAAGATGAGGACAACAGTCCGAATAATGTAAATAGTTACAATACCTATCCCAGAAATAATGACAGAAATTGAAAAGAAGTCTTCAAAAAAGTCAATACATCCGTAATAATCCATTTTTCTTAAATGAACCAAATATTACATGAAATATAATCTCAAAATTTTAAACATTATTTTCCTCATAAAAACATTTTATCCAAACTTCGACTTAGTTCTTAAAGAATTTCCTTTTTCTTTTTCTCAGTCATATTCCAAACCTTGATTTCTAAATATAACATAATACAGGTTTGAACAATCCACAGGAGTTGATACGGCTATAAACCAAACGAAACCAAGCCTGTTTGAGCTCTGAAAAATGTATGAAATTAATAAACGGGGAGAGATCTTAATATGTTCGCGAAGGGGTGTCGGAAAAATTCCTCGAAAAACAAAAGACAAAAAAAAAAAAATGAAGAAGAAGAAAGAAATGTCCCATTCTATTCGGTTCGTAAGTCTAGCGTACATTGTTTTGAAGCGTCAATTTTACACAGTATTTAGAGTAAAAGAACGGGCTTTTCTGCACAAAACTACAACAAACTTGCGGCGAAAATAAGTTAATTCTCGGAGAAACAATAGAAAATAAACACACATTCTACTATTGACTATTTGTCTGTAGCCTCATAAAACAGAACACATTATTATTACCATCGGCTGTTAGAGAGGCACAGGTCAGCGACACCAGGTTCGCCAACCACATCTTTCCATCATATAAATGGGAAACATAGTACAGAGTCGTAGTTATGACGATAAACTACATCCGGCAGCAAGACTTCTGATCGGGAGATTAGAGGTTTTGAGGAGCGTGGATCCACCTCTTAATTGCTGTTGTTCCAAGGTCTACCCTGACCGAGAGTAGTACCACCTGTTAGAGTTCCACCTAATGGCAAATAGTAAATACAGAAGCAAAACACTATGAAAGTATAAAAATACATATTTATATTAATATTACCAGCAATATCTATTTGTAGTAGAATGGTAAACAATACATTTTATAGCAAAATGACCAACAATATATTTTAGCTAGGGTTGAAGCCATAAAAGTGTGTTCAAAATATTTAGATTTCGGCATTAAATAGACCTTGATATACAACTAAATAAAACCAAACAATCAAAATGAAAGAACTCTTTCGTGACATGAATCCATATAATATCCTACAATTACTTAAAGAAATAAAACTGTATCCCAAACTATAAATTCAACAAAACTATAACATAAACACACGTATCACCGCCTCTTAGTAATTAATTCACTACAAACATGTACATGAACAAAAGCTGAGTATCATCTACCATGCATTCAACTGTGAAAGCAGAATAACATACATCATGGTTTTATTACTTCAAAACAACCAAGGAGATTAAATTTTGGCATTAAATTACCCATGAAATGTTGATATGCTGCTAAACAAAAAATAAACGAAACCTGGCGCCACTTATTTGGATCAATTTTGGGGAAAAATCATTTAAAAATCTTGCATGACGAGGTTGCTGGACAACAGTGAAGATGACATCGTCTTTGAGGAAGAAGAGACAAGATGACAATGTGGACGAAAATGGCATCAAAGAAGTAAAATACCTCGACTCCGCTGAAAACAGATGAAATTATCAAGACGTTGACCTTTGACACAGACAGCAGAGAATCAGATTAAATTGTATTTAATATTTATGGGAACAGATAGTTTAAAATGCAATGATTATTGATTAAAACATTTTGTTGCACATTAATTAATACGGACCATATATAAAGGTTGTTCCAATAACTTGGACCGATTTTAAATGTGAATAAAGTTTAAGCGTCTAATGCTTTTTTTCTTTTTCTTTCAGATTTCACAACTTAAGTCTTTGGCAATTCCAATCATGGAAAGATTAACAATCAAACAACGTGTTAAAATTTCAAGAGTCCAAATGAAAAAAATTGTTTGTATTTTCAAACAAACTGGATCGGTGGCAGATGTGAAAACATCATTGCTTGTTCGTTTACGCTGTTTAGCTGAAAACATTGCTACAGTGCACGAGAACGTGGTGGAAAATCCAGATCCCTCTATTCGTCATCGCGCGCAGGAATTGAACCTCTCCACAACAACGTTACATCGTTTCCAATTGCACTCTCGGTTGGTCGATTATATTGACCAACAATATTGCGAAGTGAGCGAAATACATATCTGCTTGAACGTCCATTTTCGTAATAGGCTTCGATGACTTTAATACGTTGTTTGATTGTTAATCTTTCTATGGTTGAAATTGCCAAAGACTTAAATTGTTAAATCTGAAAGAAAAAGAAAAAAAAAATCATTAGACACTTAAACTTTATTCATATTTAAAATCGTTATTGGAACAGCCTTTATAACGTAATTGCTATATCCTGGAATATAGCAATGCAAGTGTCCGGAACATCGTTACAATTGTTATCATGCATAAAACGCACCCATTTTTTGATTGTAAGAATTTTTGGAGATAATAAGGATTTAATAATAAAAGTCCTACTAATTAACCCATAACTGGGGGGAACAGAAGTGGGTTCATAACTT